TTTCAACCTCTGTGTTCAAATTGTGAAAATATACAGACATGGTTTTCAGAGAATGTAATCTCTGATTCCTCATGGCAAAATCACACCAGTGGTATAAGGTCCTGCCCGTTCGGGTTTTCCAAAGACACAAACCTGGTTGTATCCCAGTTTTTCTGAGGTCATATCTGTATCTTTGGTTAAACTGAGGAAGATCACACTGAGAGGTTACCAGCTGATTTCAGGTTACCTTAAAACTCTAACCTTGGTAGCTACATGGTAGAAATATCCTGATGAGTCTGAAAGTCAACAAGGAAGCCCATGCTTCAAACTGGAGTGTTGGTTATAGGTGCGTAGGTGTGTATCTAATGAGCAAGCTTTTCCCTTGAAAGGTGAGCTTCTTGTTCTAATACACCTCTATAATCAACTTCAGGCTAATTTTAAACAGTTCAGTAGTCCAGTAGTATGGCACTAACTTGTGGAACATCTGGCATTTCCTGCTACTAAGTTCAGTCATGCTGTGTGCCATAGTAGCTTGGGGGGGGGGGAAAGTCATCTGCTCCAGACTCAACCTAGTTACACATAGTCAGTTGTACTGGACATTTAATCTCTAACTATTGAATTGTTGACTTGTTTAAACTGGTGGAAATACCCTTTTCAGATGCAGCCTGAATCTGTGTACCATAGAATTGATGGTTTGTGGCCCAGTAGAAGGACTAATCTGCTTGCAGATCCTGGAATTCAGAACTATTTTCTTGGCATACTTTTCTCTTTAATTTAGAGATCTGCAGTCTGTGTTGGTTTGTTGGATGGGGAGGAGCTAGGTCATCTATTTCCAGTCAGGGGAGACTGTAGAATCATAGAATGGTTTTTGGGTTGGAAGTGACCTTTAAAAATCATCCAGTCCAACCCCCCTGCTATGGGCAGGGACATCTTCCACTAGATCAGGTTGCTCAAAGCCCCCTCCAACCTGACCTTGAACACTTCCAGGGATGGGGCGTCCACAGCTCCTCTGGGCAACCTGTTCCCAGGGACGGTTAAGAGCTCTCTTTTCAGTTGTTGGGTAATGCTCCTGGCCTTGTCCCTGCCAGGGTTTGTGAACATACTGGCACATGTCTTCAGCGGAAGGTGCTCATCTGAAGAGCTGCCCCACAAAGGCAGACTGAAGGTGTGCCTAGCTCCCTGTGCCCTGCAGTGGGCTAGCTGTGGACACTTGAGGGAAAAGCAGTAAGATCACAGTACAGGTGATAGTCTTTCCTCTCTCTATCCTTCCAGTAGTCTCTTGTTCGGGAATGTCCTTAAATAGTGACTGCCAGGGCCACTGATCTTAGTATTACTGTAAAGCCTGTGCCTTCTATGAACCTATCTAATCTACATTTGAATTAACTTTTTTGGCCTTTGCGTGGCAGCTTATGTCATGTGGAAGTACTTTCTTTTGGTTTGCTTATTAACGTGCTCTTAATAATTTTAGTGGTAAGCTGTAATTTTGCATTGGTAACATCACCATCTCCATATGGTTAATGACTGTAAACTGTTCTCAATAAAAAACAGCCCGCAGTGTCTCCCATATTGAAAAGATGATGTTACACAACCTCTGTGGTGGCTTGTATTCCTGAAAATGTGCCATTGCCCCACAGGAAGCACAGAATGTCAAATGCTGGGTTTCAGTTCAGGTAGTGTCAGATCAGTAATCAGTAACATCCTAGTGAGACTGTAATAATGTGAGAAATTGTGATGACTTGTGTGCAAGAACAATGAATTTGAGCACATGTGGAGAATGGTCTTGAGGATGCTTCCAGTATTCATTGGATGGGAGGAGACAGGAAGAGTTTTAGTCCAGCACCTGTGTGTAGATCAGATGGTTGCTGTCCGTGTGTGTGTGAGGTCTCTGAAACACCTGGGAGAGTGACACAAATGGTTATGAAGTGGACACAAAACCAATTAAATTAGAGATTAAAAGATGTGAGCATTACAGCAATAAGATTCTGACATAGTCATCCTAAATCATAGCGAAGTAAAAACTGAGCAATTATTTAGATGGTACTGTAAACCTGCAAAAGGGGAGTAAATGAATGGGTGTCTGCAGTGGTAATTCTTGTAGTCTGTCTCCCTTTTACTCTGTCCAGCCTAACAAAAGTCTGCTCTGATGTCTTCTGTGGCTGTTGATTAGTTTTGGCATGTGCAATATAAAAAAAAAGTATGAAATTAACAGCTGGGGATGGCACCTGGGTTGAGCCCTAGCTGGTGAAGTAAATAAAAGCATCTTCAGCTTACCCTCCAAAAGTCCTTGGTGTGGTAATAGCACCTTTTTTGGAACAAAGTAGGAAACTGTAGTAAGCTGTCAGTGTGCTTTTACCAGCTAGAAGGAAGAGCCAGTGACCTGTGGTTGGTAAGTCCTCCAGGAGACCACCAGCAGTAATCCATGAAAACAGATACTTCAGGAGCTCTGCGGTGGTTGAAGTTCGTTTGTCTTTACAGGACACAGGACTTAGATCTGTGGTGTGACTTCTCTTGCCTTCAGAAATCGTGTGTATGAATGCTTCAACAAGCAAACTTTAAAAATGGAGGGAATAATGTAGTGTAGGTTCTGCTTGTCTAGGTAAGCTGCCTGATCTACTGCCTTAGTGATCTGAAGTGATTGAGATACCCAGCTAAGTTTCAGATAGCCAGGTCACTTTTTTTCCTGTCTTTTTTCCTTTGCTTCAGGGATCATTTTTCTAAATCCTGTGGATTTCTCTGGGGTACTTTTCCACTTTGCTTACCGTGATGTTCAGCTTTGGTTGCAGTGGTCCTAGATGAGGCCTCAGTGCTGAGCTGTGAAGACTTAATACACTTTCTTTTCTTAGGCAGTACTTGTATGTACACTGCAAGCTAGTGTAAGCCAGCACTGCCACCAGAAATAGCTAGTGTAAACATCTGTGTAGTTACTCTGTGAGCTGTCTTGGGGAAGCAGATCTATGTAAAAACTATCACTTTCTCTGTGTGTTTGGTACTAAATTGATGCCCCAGTGCAGTTTTGCAGCGACTATCCCCCGCTGTCCCACCTGCCACAACTGCAGAGCTGACATCCCCTTTTAAACCAACAACAAATTCAGTTTACGTTAATATGTGAGGTGTGAGCTGTGGTGTTTGAGGCTTGTTATTTATAGCCTCACTATATTTAACAGCAGTGGCTAGAAAGGTTATGGCCTCAACAGTTTGGAGGTGGAAGGGGGCATGTGGCTGGTAGCCTCTTCAAGTACACGGAGTCAAGAGTCCGTGGCTCTACATTTCTCTGCTCTGATTGCTCTGCAGTGCCCTAGACAGTCTTCGAAAACCAGATGGGTGTGGTGTGGACAGATCTAGTTGTAATTTCTCATTTTATCGCGGAGTGGGTAATTTATTATAAATTGCTTTTCATAGCCTCTTGACAGTGCTGAAGTGATCCAGAGGTGGGATGTTGGAGCCAGGGAGGTAGTGCACTTGGATCTGACCAAGTATCTTGAGCAGCTCAGCTCAACCTTCATAGTCCATGCTCAGTTTCAGTCAGCCAAGTAAACTTCTGCACCCCATCGTAGGTGTCTGACTTGATGACAGGATAGGTACTCTTCATCATTTCCAGCAACACTGAGTTTGAATACTGTAAGCCAACACTTACCAGCACTGCAGCAGTGATGTAGGGTAATGTAACAGAGTGTGCCTGGTGTATGCTGGCCTAAATTGTTTTCAGGGTGGAGAAATCTGGTAAGTATTGATTCTTAAATTAATGAGAAACAAATTGGATGCTCTCAAAGTGGGGGAACACTTTCAAAAGTTTGAAACTTTCAAAGTACGATTTCAGTATTTATTCTGTAATAGTCACAAGCTGGGTTGTGGGAGACATGGTGTAAATCAATCTTGCAGAGATATGCACATACCAAATAGCAAATCTTCTGAGCTATAAGATGCATTATTTTCAGGGGTTTATATCTAATTTGACCCTGTTTAATAGCTAAGGAATTGGAAAGTTACTGATTCATCACTGGTGAAGGTAGCTAATCTATAAACCAGTAACCATTTGCTTTTTGTAGCATGTGAAATGGATTTTGGGGCGGGGGGGTACTATTCATCAGTGTATTTCTTTACACTGTTTGCACATTTGTATATGCAAATATAAGCCCTGCCTACACTGCAGAGGCAACTGTGCAGTGATGTTTGCATGTGTAAAATAGGCTGTGCTCAAGGCTGTGATGAACTATGTGGAGTAAAACCTGTGTGGAGTAAAACTACACAGCTGTACCAAATGAGTGGGATAAATACCTGCTTATGGGGCTGTTCTGTATTGGCCTTCAGCTTTAGTCTTGCAGTGAAGAAATTGTTTTTAAAAAAGAAGCTGTTATAAAAGTTCCTTGAGTAAGCATTTCTACTGTGTAATGTTAGCGTAGAGGGGGCATTGATTTTAAGTATACTTAAAATATTTGAAATTTTGTTTCATAATTTTTGTGCCTGTAGCTAGAGCTGTGCTGTTTAGAATGTTAAATTATTAGGAATTTAAGCTAACAACTTCTTAATTTTTCCCTACTCTTAAAACAGAAAGGTATGTTAGAGCTAAGTCCATTTAATTTTGAGTGGAGTTGGGTGGGAAAGGGATAATAACTTTACATTTTAAATTGGAAAATTCTTCACATTCAGAAAATATTAAACTAAGCCTGTGGAATAATCACTGTTTCCCAAACTTCTGTTTTTGGGCTCAACCCCTGGATTTATCCTTATTCCCCTGATGTTTTTATTTTTAGGGGGTTTTTTATTCTCAGAGTTACGAGTTGGGAATTTGGGACAGGTGATGAAGCTGCCAGTTGAAAAATAGTTTTCTTACTGCCATATTAAACTAAATGTTCATGTCTTAGGCAAATGTTAACAGTTACTTTTAAGTAGCTGATTTTCTGGCATGTTTGCAAATGATTTTTAACTAATAGTGCATGTGGCTGAAATCTAAAATAGTGTCTTTGCATTTCTTTTGTGTGACTTTCATACTAACCTGACTGATGAACGAACGTGCACTGAAGGAATTGGTAAATTGTCCACTGCCGATGGTAAAGCCTTCGCAGATCCTGAGGTTCTCCGAAGACTGACGTCCTCTGTCAGCTGTGCACTGGATGAAGCTGCTGCTGCATTGACGCGGATGAGAGCAGAGAACAATCACAATGCAGGACAAGTGGACAAGTACGTATTGATCGTGCCCCACCCCTGGTTTCCCAGCTATAGAATGTAAGTTTGTATTTTTAATTTCAAATTCAGTTAATTTTATAGTTAGCACTTGGTAACGTATCTGCTCTACAACTAGCAGAAGCAAAGTTATTGAATCTGAAAGTGTAACTACTGTCCCATCAGGTTATTGGCTTCAAAGTGTAAGAGAAAAGTACGAAAAAATGTTACTTTCTAACCTGCTGCTCTTTCTGTGTACTAGATAGTCGATTTCTTTTTCAAAACCGGGTTAAATTCTTAGCTGTAGAAGAGCTGGTGATAGTTCTCTAATTACTGCCTCAGCATACTTTCTTGGAAACTAATGAATCTAGTTCATTATATTAAAAGTTGGAAAAGAATACTAATACTTACAGGGCAGCGATTTGCCCCGGGATCTTGCTCAGGAACTTAGGGGAAAATGAAACTATATTATCTGATAACTTTTTGTAACTGATAATTAATGAGGACAGCATTTAAATCCCATGACGACAGAACTGAGGATTTGTCCTACGTCGTCGAAAGCTTTCTTCTACATTGGTAATTTCAAAGGATCTTTAGGGGTCCTGAAATATTTTCTACTCTGACAAGTGATGCAAATAGTTCCTAAACTGTTGGGATGGTGTGACTGCATATACTGTTGAACTGCAGATCTAAGATCAAAAATGGAGAGTCTTAAGTTTCCTTTCATGTGGATGTCCTCTTGAAGTTCAGACTTGGGATTTGCAAAACAAAGTGCTTACAGTAAGGACAGTAGTCTTGAGTCATTGCTCAAAACGTAAATACAAATATAGAACAAATATAGCTTCATTTCCTAACTGAAGCTAGAGAAATTACTTGTGGATCAAAACATGGGGAGATGAAAATATGCTGGGGAAGCATGCTTGAACATAAAAACGAAGCATGCAAGAAGTGGAAGCAGTCCAGGTGGCCCATGGGGAATATAGAGACGACAACCAAGCATACAGGGACATGATTAGGAAAGCCAAAGCCCACCTGGAGTTGAATCTGGCAAAGGGCATGAAAGGCAACAAGATATCCTAGTGTGAGTATATAAGCTGCAAAAGGAAGATGAGGGAAGATGTGGGCCTGCCTCAGAATATGGCAGAGGACCTAGTGATGGCGACACAGAAGAGGAAGAGGTAGTGAATGCTGCCTTTGCCTTGGGCTTTACTGGTGAGATTTGCTTTCAGGAATCCCAAGCCCCTGAGATGAGCGGGAAGGTCTGGAGGAAGGAGGGCTGGCCCTTGGTTGGTATCAGGTCAGGGAGCATTTAAACAGGTTGGACATAGTCCAGTGGACAAGTTCACAGGACCTGATAGGATGCCCTCATGAGTACTGAAGGAGCTGACTGATGTCACTGCGAGGCCAGTCTCAATTTATTTGAAAGGTCATGGGGAATGAGGGAGGTTCCTGAGGACTGGAAGAAAGCAAATGTCACCCCTGTCCTCAAGAAGAGGAAGAAAGAGGATCCAAGGGACTTATAGGCAGGTCAGCCTCACCTCAGTCCCTGAAAAGGTGATGGAGCAAATCCTCCTGGAAGCCATTTCCTCACATAGTAAGTAAAGAATGATGATGGGAAGCAGTCAGCATGCTTTTACAAAGGGGAGATCAAGCCTGACCTGATAGCCTTCTACAATGAGATGGCTACGTTGGTAGATGAGAGCAGTGGATGCTGTTTATCTTGACTTTAGCAAGTCTTTTCACACTGTATCCCAGAGCATCCTGTGGGACGAGCTGATGAAGTACAGACCAGGGAGGTGGACAGTGAGGTGGATTGAAAACTGTCTGAACTACTAGGCTCGGAGTTGTTAGTAGCACAAAGTCCAGGTGAAGGTAAGTTGCTAGTGGTGTACTCCAGGGCATGATATTAGGGCTAATACTGTTTAACGTCTTCATCAATGACCCGTGTGATGGTACAGAGTGTGTCCTCAGCAAGTTTGCAGATGATACAAAACTGAAAGGAGTGGTTGATGGACCATTTGGTTGTGCTGCCGTTCAGAGGGACCTTGACAAGCTGGAGAAAGGGGCCAGCAGGAATCTCGTGAAATTCAAGAAAGGGAAATGCAGAGTCTCGGACCTGGGGAGGATTATCTCCGTGCGTTGGTACGAATGGGGAGGGCTGAATGGCTGGAAATCAACTTTGGAGAAAAAGGCCTGAGTTTCGTGGTGGACAAGTGGAACATTAGCCAGCAACGCACCCTTGGAGCAAAGGTCCACAGCATCCTGTGCTTCATTTGGAAAGCATCGCAGTGTCATTCTTGTCACTTTTACAAAATGTCTCGGAAATATCTCAAAGGGAACCTGAGCAGGGAGCAAACTGGGAGACCTCTTGAGGTACCTGGGTCAACTAGAATCAACTAAGAGTTTTGTTTTTAATAGCTTTTTCCCAGAGCATATTTGGTTTCACAGCGGTTCTGTATTATATGAGGTGGCTTAAGGTCATCTTCTGAGAATGATGGATCTGTTTCAGGATTTGTCTCGCAGGTTATGGTGTTGGGTGGCTCCCATTTCTAAGACTAGATTATGTGTGTGCAAAAGTGCATGAATCCCCACCCTCTCCTCCCAGCTGAACAACGGAACCTGAGCTGTAAATGTCTGGCTACGTGTGGGTCGCAGCAGGGCTGTATGACCGCTTGTGCTGTGAGCACACGGCTGTCCCTTACTACCTCCGAGGAGAAGGTGGCAGCTTTGATAGTGTCCTGCAGCCTTTTAGTGGGATCCCTTGCTTCAGTATATGGAGTTGACTATGTAGCCAAATAATAAACTTTACCAAAATATCAGTTATTTTGCTTAAAATACTTAGTGATTACAATGCAAATGTAAGTGATCAGATATTGGATATTCTCTTCAGGTCGGATCTCAGCTTTTATCTACCAGCTGCTAGCACAGTTTATTTCGTTTTGGGGTATATGGCAAATGAGTTCCTTTTAAAATAGAGACTTAACATAGTTTAACCATTACAGTCTTTGAACAATTGAAACTTGTATGCTTTCCTGAGGTAACTTTATGCTCAAATGGATATTTTCTTCATTGTGAGTGAATTTCTTGAGTGAACTGTCTTTCACAGAAGAAAAGTAGAAGTTTGAGTTTTTTAATGAATCTGAGTGTGCTAGTTTTTGTTTTAAGAAACAAGCTTCCATACCTTGCAAATAAAATACACTGATAGGAATGCATCATATACAGTCCTCTACTGTTTATAACAGAAGGCTCTTCCTCCCTTCCCCCTCCCACGAGGGCATTAACTGTGGTTTGGTTCCCAGTGGCTGAAGGACCACGATCCCTTGCATATATTTTCTAAATAAAACTGTATCATCAGTTGGAGAAGTGTAACTGGGTTGGTACTGAGTGTGACTTGCTCTTGTTTATGCTTGTATTTAGCAGTGCTCTAACAGTTGTCTTTGCTGTTAAGACTTTTTTTTTTTACAGAAGAAGATTTAAAGGACAGGTGACTTGGTTTGAAATAAATTGAAGCACAGCTCATCTTTTGCAAGATTTGTTTAGTGTACTTTCCTAGGTCTCAGGGGAAATAGCTATTCTCTCTACTTCAGAGGTTAATGATGGTTAAAGTAGTGATTATAGAATTCTGAGCTTTTAGATGCCAAGAACTCGGGGTTTGTCTTGTCTTTTCCTTCTCTTAGCTTATAATTACCTCTTATGGCTTTTTTTAAGGATGAGTTAGTAAACTTCTGTAAGGCTCTTCTCCTTTCTTCCTTTAAGATGTCATTAGGTAAGGTAAGGATTTTTCTTTGAAATGGCTGCTTAAATTAAGAAACTGATTTTTTCAATTAAAAGAAAAAAGCTTTGGGCTAGGGCAGAGAAGGAAATAGTCCCGCTACAGGAGGGACAATGGTCAGAAGCTTGTCTTGTTGCAGTATTCAGTGTTAGTGGTCTCCGTGATACTAGGCTGTTTACTTTTTGGCTTTATGTCTACTAGAAATTTGCCTTGGTACCTATAGTCAGTAGTTTGTCGTGGCCGTGGCCTCTGTGTGTCTGGCATTCCACTGAAGTGTGAATAGCATCGGTGAGGTTTACTTTTGTATCTTGCAAACACCACAAATTGCCTAATTTTGAGCACTCTTCTTTGCATTTAGTCTATATGACAGCTTATGTGAGTTAGCAGCTGATGAGGGCAGGAGCTAATTTAGACATAAGCAAGGTCTTTATCTCCGTTTCACCTATGGAAATAATGTGTATATAGATACTTTTTCTTAAAAAAAAAAAAATCTGTAAGGTGTATTTTCTAGTCAGGCTTGGTACTAATGTCATGAGTCTTTAAGTAAAGACTCCTTCCTTGCATAGGAAAGCTACCCATCTATTGCAGATTTATTTTGAGCTTATTCTGTGGCAACTGATTTTCCAGTCGCAGTTTGGCAGAAGCATGCTCAGATGGGGATGTAAATGCTGTCCGGAAGCTGTTGGATGAAGGAAGAAGCGTAAA